TTCGATAGTTTAGTAGTGGTGGTGCGCGAGTCACCGGGTATTGGAAAAGTGTGAAAGCGTCGCGTATTTTCTGTTTTTTTTTTAGCAGTTTGACTGTTTTTAGTTGAACGCTCCTCTGTTTGCCCATTTGAAATATGTAAGTATTTCTTGATATTTTGTAGAAAGTTTTTAAACTACAGCTTTGAGTTTGTCGCTCATTTTGCTGGTTAAAAATTAATGAATGGCAGCATAAACGGGCCAACAGAATTTCTTGACACAAGCTGTGTAATTCAAGATGAGTCTTATGGAATTTAGCCCGTTGTTTTGTCCCAATTTCGGGTTTAAAGTGTCAAACAAAATTGGGAAATTTGCAATTTATGTAAAAGCATATTTAAGCAGAATTGATTTTAACGATGAAAAGGAAAAATAAAAATGAATAAAAGGTAAAAACTAACAAAGAATATTAAAGTAGAAAGTTTTCTTCGAACTATTTCTTCCATACTCAAAAATGTAAATAAATAAATTACCAGGACAATTGACGAAAAAAGCGGACTGTCCCGTATAATACAGGACGGATGATCACCGTACCTATTGGGCGCAGGGGAGCATGTCCTACATGGAGCCTAATGACTTACGCCTTTTAATTTACAGTTATTTATTTCTTAAAACACTGGAGAAGATATTGGATTAGTACATCATCGAACGCAGATCTGAAGATTTTTCGCTATTACATTAAATTAAGGTTAACATCGTAAAAGCCTTGGCTTGCAATAAACTTGCTTTAGGGGCTATTATCAACTTCCTGCATTCAACTATTATCCTTCCTACATTGAAATAAGAGTTTCAGAAACTCTGGCGGAATTCGTCAGTCTTCTTTTTGGTAAAAGGACTATTTTATGTCCGGAGCATCTTTCATCAGATATGCGTCAAGAGCCCCGCCTAGCGAGGTTCTCTCGTCGCTCTTATGGCATAACCACTCTCAGCTTTTAGGCGAAATTATATAAAATTCGGTACATATTGAAGGAACTTGGTCTGGGGGCAGCATGCGAACTCAACATCAATCTGTAAAAAAATGTATATAACTATTTCACTCCAAGTCAGTTCGTTCAATGGCGTAGCGAATGAGGTTAGATACTTGGGAATTATCTCGGACAGGGTGCTTCCCTGAAAACGGAACTACGAAGCAAAAATCAGAAAAGCCATTACTGTCCTGTTGGCCTATAATTCTGCTATTGGTAAAAAAATGGGGCATTAACCCGTAGATAGTGAACTGGATATACATGACAGGGGTTCTCCCGATCATCTTCTGTGGAGTCACAGCTTGGTAGGCATCAATCGAGGAATCTACTACTAGATACAAATTTAATAAGGTAAAGGGGGCTAATAACCCTCCATCTCGCCCTGGTAATTGCACTTAATTTTATCCCTATTGACTCGTAAACTTCAAGCGAGAAGTAATACAGTCAGATAAATGCTTTGAATAAGTGGAAGGACACAATATACGTGGATATTATATAACTTTAGAAGCCTGCCCGACAAATTTAAAGCACCCAGTCTATTCAATATCGACTTTGGTCTTTTGAAGGGCGAACACTCTACTGAAATAGATACCGGTGAGCCAAAATAACAAACAAATAGGAAGTGGTGTATACCCGCAAGAGTTATCTCCAGAATGAATTTTGGGAAAGAATTTCACTGAAATCTATACTGATGGATCCAAAATAGACTGCGGTGTGGGTGCGGGGATGTTCTATGAGATACTGAATATCTCTCTCTCGTTCCGACTACACGGCCTTACATTAGGCAGATTCTCCTTCCAAAGATATATAAATTCATCGACGAAGTCAAGTGGTTTGACGAAACTGACGAATCATAAAGGCACATATCTGATAAAACGTATCAGGATGGTACTCTCAGTGCTAATTGGGTCCTGAGAAAGTGCTCGGGCCACGCTTCTACGAACCAACAAATTTTGATATCACAGTTCATAATGACATTTTGGGTAACTGCAAAGCTCTGATGAACTTTCAGGATCAGTTACCCGCTTATCAGCTGAAAAATCTCCTCAAAAAACTGCTTCGAATTGTCTAATAAAAAGTGGGTCGCTGACCCAATGTTCAAAGAAGGACCCCCATTTCATTTGCAGTTGGAACATTCCCAACTTAGGCTGCTAATAGGGATAATCACGGAACAGAATGAGGTCCAACAAACTCAATGCCTGCAACGATTCCCACATCAAATCTATAAAAGCGACCGAAAGCCACGATCCATTTCGCACGCCTGTTTTTCCTTTGATAATCGAAAAATCTTCTTAACTTGAAATTATAAAAAAAATCTACAACACTAAAAGAAATGACGGCGAAATCAAAAGCAATACCGAAATTAACAGGGAACAATTTGAGAAAACAAACAAACACTGATTTAAGCAAATCCAAATCAAACAAAAATAAAATCTTCAAAAATCCAAAATAAAGGGCAGGCTATTTATTATATTGAAGCTATGATGCATTCACGGTTCCGTTCACCTCTACCTTTGATCAGCAAATCAGTGAACCAAAAAAAAATCTGCTCTGCTGAAGAATGCATCAAAACTCTTGCATTTCAATAATACCAGCAATTAGCACTAAAAAGTACAGTAGCATTAAGCTTCTACATTCATACATGTATGTATGTGTGTGCAAATCCTTTATACTTGAAACTCAATCTAACCCAGTTCGGACAAAGTGTGTACTTGCACGCCTTGTACACCACTTTTGATTTAAAATGAAATTTTCAACGAAAACTTGAAAGCACTAAAGCTACTGAGGAGTACTGAAGAACTGCTAGCTAGTCACACTTTGTAGACGTGTTTAAAAGCGTGTGTGTGCATAGGTAAGTGGCCGTGAGTGTGTGGCGTTGAAATTTCATTACCTACTGGACTTGGAGCTGGTATAATAGCAGCTCGCATTAAATGAAACAGCCAGAGGGAGCACAAAACACATACACATGCGCAAGCATTAACTGGCTCCGAGAATCAAAAGCACACAAATTTTCAGCATTCACCACTGTCTACGTCGGTGATTCCCAAAGTAGTCCAAGCTGGGAATTTGGGTGCAGTGGTCCGCGGGAGACTAGACGAGGGTCTACGTTGGCGTAAAAAAAAAATACGGGGGTTCACGAGTTGTAGGTTTGGGTCCATAAAAAATTTAACTGGTTTCGAAAGCAAAGAACACAAATCTTGGCTTGGCTTTACCGATTTGATAAGTTTATGTGGCGAAAAGTCGTTTTTCGTACTTACAAAAATAAACTTTTTATCCTTGGTATTTGATAAAGAAAACTTCAAACTAATTAATGGTGTCTATTGTTTTTGTAAAAAATGCACGACAACTGCTTAGCAGAAGGTCAAAGTCTGTGAAATGTTCGAATCGATTTTGTCTTTTGTTTTTTAAGCTATTTTCGAACTACCACATTCAAGTTAATAATTATCTAAAAAAATTAACAAAATAAAAAAATAAATAAAGGGTATAAAGTTCTATAACTGTTTCTTTGTTGAACTTTTTTTTTTGAAGGGAAAGTACATATTTCTAACATAACCTTAAATTATTATTTTTTTCATCTTTAAAGTGATATTTGAATAAGCCTTTAAAATGTTGGCCGTATTTGGTCGTCTTTAGATTATCAAAAATGTGTAAACTAAAAAGTTTTGATTTTAATCTGTCCATTTCGTGTTGCGATTTTTTGCGTTTTCTGAGAAAATTACCTTTTTTTGTAGGCATTCTTTACACTGGATGCTGCTTTTAATTTTTCTGCGGAAAAATTAGCAATTTCGGAATTTTTAGGTTTTCAATTGAAATTAATATATTTTGGCAATATTTTATAAAATTAGCCACTGCATAAATTTTTTTTTTTTTTTTTTTAACGAAGAGTAATGTTTTCTTTAATATATATGTATATTTAGAACAATTCGCAGTCAAACTTTTTTAATAAAACCAAAAATTAAAAATTGATCTTATTGACATAACGGTTGTCATGTTTTTTTTTTTTGCAAAAATGTTGGAAATCGTATGCCAATCCATACACAAATCATGTTTTTTTTTAAATAATTGATTTTTGGCCACAAAAATTAAGGGAGCAAAAAAAGATCAAAATTTTTCGGTGATTTTTGACAGGCTGTATTTCAGTGAAGAATAGTCGCATTGAGAAGCATTTATAAAAGCATTTTGAAGCTTCAACGTTCTAATTTACCGAATTTTTGGCTAAAAGTTTTTAGGGGCCACGTATTGTAATCATTTGGCTTTTGTTTTTTGGTGCACGGGCTTGAAAAAGAATTTTTAAGTGAGGTCGGCATATGGAGCAGATAGCCTTTTCATTTACCTTTAATTTCCTTTTTTTTCAAAACCTCCCTTAATTTTTTTGAGTAATGTATTTTAGGACAGAGATCGCAAAAATTCCTCTCTGAGGAATAAAACTTCCATCTTCCTCCTCACTACAACTGAATGAAAGAGCAATCAATTTAGATTTCCTCGTTTGTGATTGTATATTAATTTATCTTTAATATAACTCACTTTTTTCGCCTATATATTTACGCCACGCCCCTATGCCACTAAAAATATTACTCCTCTTAAAAAACTTGCTGTCCAACGTTTATTAAACATTTTCAAATTCAGTAGGGCAGCGGTTTTAGTTTTTGAAATTGGAGTGCTCTTAAAAAATATAACTCCTCAGAGCGAGTGCATATTTTGATAGCTTAACGAACTCTGTTTTAAGAAGCTCCGCAAGTGTTACTTGTAAAAACTTGCTTATTCCATCGTTGAATCTAATCTTAAAATTTTTTTGGTGAGTTTTGAAAATATAGCGGAAATGTAGCAGCGCGTCCAGAAGAAAGCAGTAAAATTTTTAAAGTGGTCTACGAGAAAAAAAAAAGTTTGGGAACCTCTGCTCTACGTATATGCATATATGTTTGTATGTATTATAAGTGTACGCACAAATGTGCATGTGTGTAGGTATTTATTCATGAAAGCTGTTGTTTGAAAGTGACTTACTTGTGGTCGTGTTGCTGGCATAACTCTCATCGCCCTCAAGTGCTGGCTTGCCGGCATCCAACCAGTAGGGCTGTGATATGCGAAAAACGCCACAGTCTTCTATATTATTGCCGCATGTGACTGGGCGGCACTGGGTTGCCGTGGCGCAAATGCATTGCATACAAGCTTCGGTGATATGCCTTGAACGACTATCCGTAACAACGGAAGGTGCATTCCATCTTGGCGCTGAATCTATTGATACCATTGAAGTGGTTGCCATTGCGCCAGAGTTGTGAGTCGCAAAAGAGTTGCCGGATGTTGTTGCAGCTACCGAAGGTGGCCTTGCGGATGCTAACGGCGCGGATATGGTTGCGGATGTGATTGCGTCAGGTGTTGATGCTGTGGATGAGATTGAATTTGTGTTGCATTAACGTTTTTGACACGAAATTCATTGCCTGAGTACGAGTACATAGTTAGTTGCTGTTGGTGTGGCGGCATTGTATTACCCACTGTGAGTGTAGCCAACACGGCGTGGCCATTATTATTATCCGCAGTGATAGTAGCAGAATCATTATTGTTGTAGTTATTGGCATGCACAACTACTAATGTTTGTGCGAAATCTACGCTCTCCTCTGGTATGGGTTGTGTAAAATCGCTGCGGATTATTGTTCGAATTGTCGATGATTGTGGCGATAGTGGCGTTGTTGATAGTTGAGTTTGTAATGCTGGTGAGTATGGCAATTTCAATGATGTCAGCTTGTTGTTAATAGTGAATGCGCTGGTTGGTGGCAAGTGCTTGTCCTGAAGTGGTGCAACTAAAGCCGCAGCTATGTATGAGAAAATGTAAATGAGGATGTGAGTAAAGCAGATGCTACTAATGTGTGTGTTTGTACATACATATATATGTAAGAATCTATAATACAATATTTAAACCGCAACAACTGCAGTCGGTTTTATTGCTGGTTTCTTATGCCTCTCTATTAATTTTATGATTATAGGGCTGGGTGGCATGTGAAAATGCAATGCAAATGAGTGGAGTAAGTAATCCAGCGGTCATTAAATGGCTATCAAATCTATGAATAAACTATTTGATAGTTGTGGTTGGTTTTCTTGCAGTCAAGAAGCAAAATGTAATGTCTAGCGAAATGGTTTATAATGCAAAAAAAAGTAATTGACGGACTAGTGCTGGTACTGTAAAAAATTACCTTAGTAATCGTTCTTTGGGAACGCTAAGAGTACTCCTAGAGTGTAATGGCTTTACAAGGACAAACGTGTATATGCACTCAAGAAAAAATGATCACTATAAGTTTAATACGCTTTGTGTTAAAATGGAAATTTTAACAGTTTAATTTTTCGGTTCGAATATAACCATTAATAACATAAAAAGAGTATTGAAAAATATTAGATTTGTATTTTGGTTATTAATTTGATGAGAAAAAACAAAAGTTTTACCGTTAACAATATCAAATTGAGACCTGTATAGACTTTTTGGTTCTTTCTGATTTCAATGTAACAACGAAAACTATCATTTAGATAAGATAATTTATTTGGGTAAATAGATACTCGAAAATTTCACGTTGATGCTAAGTAGCATCGTCCTGATGACAACCTTTTGACGTAGAATACGTCTTACCTTAAGGTATGGGGGCTATGTTCAAATGTTGTAGTTGTAATTTTTAGAGCTTCACAAAAACGCTTATTGCACGAGAACTAATAAAGCGATTTCAAAGAAAAGTGTGGCGTTTCAAAGATAAAATTCCAAACCTGTCGACAGATTCATTTTTGTAAATAACCAATTCGGTTTCTGTCGTAAAAACAACGGTAAACATTGCCTTATTTTGGGGTCAATTTTGAGCCTTTAAAGTGCTCTAGCAACTTATTGTTGGCATATATAACTTTCATTTTCGGGATATAGGTTCTTTGGAGCAGTAGAAATATTATCGGGTACAAATTTTATATAAATTTAACAAAGATTGAGCATTTTAAGGCAAAAAGTTGTTGATTTCATTACCAAAATGCTCGAAAACCGCTCAAATGATTTTGTTTTTGTTTTCTTTAATCAAAAATTCAAGAGTTTTCCTTTCGTTTGGTATATGGGAAGTATTGGTTGATATCTTCTATATATGTTTATTTTATTCAAATATATGGGCATAAATGATTTTCCATACAAAATCACCTCGTCATCATTTTGCAAACACGTGCATATGTTGGAAGTGTGGGAAGGAGACAAAAAGTATGTATGCGTATGTAATGCGGCTTTTGATCGCAGCGTATGTACATATGTAAATGCATATATACGTACATATGAAAGTTTCAGTTAATGTGGATCTGTTTGGTTTTGTTATCGATATTTTTATCGATTTTGTTATCGATTTTGTAATCGATTTTTCGATAGATTTTGTAATCGATTTTTTATCGATTTTGTAATCGATTTAGTTAACGATTTTGTTATCGATATTTTTATCGATTTTGTTATCGATTTTGTAATCGATTTTTCGATAGATTTTGTAATCGATTTTTTATCGATTTTGTAATCGATTTAGTTAACGATTTTGTTATCGATATTTTTATCGATTTTGTTATCGATTTTGTAATCGATTTTTCGATAGATTTTGTAATCGATTTTTTATCGATTTTGTAATCGATTTAGTTAACGATTTTGTTATCGATATTTTTATCGATTTTGTTATCGATTTTGTAATCGATTTTTCGATAGATTTTGTAATCGATTTTTTATCGATTTTGTAATCGATTTAGTTAACGATTTTGTTATCGATATTTTTATCGATTTTGTTATCGATTTTGTAATCGATTTTTCGATAGATTTTGTAATCGATTTTTTATCGATTTTGTAATCGATTTAGTTAACGATTTTGTTATCGATATTTTTATCGATTTTGTTATCGATTTTATTATCGCTTTTGTTATCGATATTTTTTTCTTAGTTTGTGCTTTCGTTTTTGACTTGGATATGCTCTTAACCATACCACGTATTCTACGTTTAAATTTAGCGGGTGTATCTCAGATACAGCCTGCAGACCAAGACGAAGGCGCTGGACTGTTCCTTTTTTTGAGTGTGCTAGTTCTTAATTAAAATACAGTTTCAACAACTTTGTAATGGTAACGATTCAAGGGCTATATGGGGCGTTCCATACCAAAACGGACGGGGTTCACACTTTATGTGTTTGATTTGTTTCAAATTTTTAGGGTTAATGCATAAACATAAATAGTAAATAAATATACAATTTTAGCTTTATTAATGCATTTTTAAAAACGTTACAGCACAAAAACAAATCGATAAAATAAATAATCACACAAATACACCACATCAAAATTCTCTATGAAAATAAATATTACTTTTTTTTTAATTTTTCACACAAATTTTTTGCTAAAAAAATAGTTTTTGAAAATATTGTATCAATTTAAAAAAAAATTTTTTTTAGATTTTCTTTGAGTATGCAGTCTGGTAGATGATTAAATTTTATTATAATGATGTGCAAGTTTTAAGCTACTGCAAAATTCAGTTTAAAGATTTCTACTACGGCACTCTACTGCACTACGGATAGTTTTGTCATTAACCCCCACAAAGAACCATACTTATTAATTTTTTTCGATATCTTCTGCACCGACCTATTTTTAATCACTTTGTTATGTTATTCAGGACATTTGTATTTATCGAAGGATATTTTTTCATCGATGGTTAGTTAATTTCTCAGTTAGGCAGTTTCCGTGTCTAATTAGTAACACGAAACCCTAATTTTCAAATAATTTTACAAAAGCTAGATATTTGGTTCTCTTTTTCGCTATAAAAAATAAAATACTTTTCTTTCCGGCTTTAAGAAGACAATCTGTACAGAAACTTTTTCATTTGTAATTTCCCATACTCTACGCACTATTCACAGAGACGATCCAAATACATGCAACACATGGGTATAGCCATATAACACATGGGCGTAGCCAGGTAGACGCAGGAGGGGCGGGCAGGTGGCTCCAACTAACTTCCAAGCCTCCCCTATAAGTAAAAAATATTACCCTGAAATGCTAGCTTAATAGTTTCGAGATCCCCCTCCACCCCTAAATTTCATTATGGCTACGCCCATGTACATACATATTTTTATTTCGTATGCTTAGGAATGCCTTTTTTATTTCCATCACGCCATATCCGCTACTTAAACTTTCTTTTGTATTCCAAATTCGTATTTGCTGCCAATGGCATTTAACGAGCATTTAAATTTTACAGCTACTGTAGATATATGGTCGACAGATGATTTATGATTCGCAGGATAATGCCATTTCAGTGTTAAAGTTTCAACAATGATATGAAAATACGTTTTAAGAGTTCATAAAAAGTTAATAAAAATGTTTATCATAACTGTACTTAAATCAACTCGTTAAAGAAATATTTCGAATTCAGTGCATTGCTCTGCGATTGAACACCATTATATTTCGGATATTGCCAATTAAGTTTTATGCATCTCTAACTTCCACAAAAACATTCCGTTTTCATAAGCAAATACTAAAACCACTTACCACTTACGTGCAAATATCTTAAGCAACTCAAATCCAACTAAGTACATTACCGGCCGTCGGCAATGAACCGGCATACATACATACATATATCAACAACAACGTTCGAACATAGAGGCAAGTGCACTAAAGAACATCATAACTTTTCACACAGTTGAAAAAAAAAAAACACTTTCTTAGTAAACCCGTTTCGCAGCTACAAAAATTCAGTCAATTAGTCGTACGGTGCTGCTGAGTTAAGACATCTCTAGTTAGTTTTGACACTACAAACAAAACTTACCAACACCGCCGGCTACTGAAACGTGTTGCTGCTGCTGCTGCTGCTGCTGTTCGTGCCGCAGTCGACCGAGATGTGGCTTCCGTCGCAAATGTAGATAAATTGAACCGCTAATCAGCAGCAACGACACAATCAGCGATGAAACGGTGAAAACACGACGCCAATTCACTTCCGCCCTGGAGTTACGTGAATTGCCAGCGCCACCAGCGCCACCACCACCACCACCGCCGCCGCCGATGCCGTTACCGTTCAGACCACGATGCGCTCCAGTGCCGACATCAACACCCACACCAACATGACCCAAATTCGTTGTGTTTACCGCTAATGGACTAGGGAGCGTGTTGTTATTATTAGCGGTGGCGGCGGCGGCAGCGGCGGCGGTTGCATTAGCGCTGGATAGCGCTGCTGCATTGCGGTTAACAGGTCGAATATCCACAATGAATTTCGTTTCAGCCATCAGTTTGGGCTTGAATACGCTCTCGTGTACAGTTCGCATGGATGCGGTGAAATATTTTTTTTTATTTTGGCGTTTTAATTACTCGGTGTGTGTTCGGTGCTACGCTGTGAAATTGAAAATTATGCTGTCGAAAGCACTTGCTTGTCTTTCCGTGCCGTTTCAAAATGCTGGCGGTTCGCAATGGCTGCTGCTCTATACTGGCGGCGGCTGATGGCTGGTGACACTTGATGCGCGCTCTCTGTTGTTGTTTTTAATTCCAGAACGAGTTGTTTTTTTTTTGCTTATTTTTAGTGATTTTTTTTCGCTTTTGCCTTTGGTATTGATAACCTCTATAGATTCTATTGAGCTGTTTTGTTGATGAAAATTATCAACAGTTTCTTGTTTTCGATCTTTTTTTATATTTTTCTCATTGTCAGTATCTACATATAGCGTGCATGATGCTAGTAATCGTGTGCTTGTGACGCTCGGCGTGGAATGCCTATAGTGCCTATAACTAGTGTACATATTTATGTGTATGCACATTAGGGCAGTCCAAATTGGTTTTGCAGCCACCCCTCAGAACTGAAGAATATCGAAAAAAAATTTATTTTAAACTCGGCTAATGTTTAATGGTGCCGCTAAGGGTTTGAAGTTTCTCATGTACTTTATATGTATAAAGAGAATATGTATATTTTTTCGTACACTTGCTAAAAAATCGTTAAAAAAAATATTTTTTGGTCGAGTAAGAATATTGCCCTTCAGAAATTTTAAAAAATTATAATTATGATGCATATTTAACTAACAATTTTTATTAGCTATTTGAACTGTTCGTTCGACAAGTGTTCGTAACCACATAAAGTAAACACTTTTGAATATACTAAGAGATAAGATGATCTATTATGAAACAAGTAATTTTTAAGCAAAAAACCAAACCAACTTCAATTCGCATGTAAGAATTTAAGATTATCGTTAATCTCTTCATGGTACAATGATCGGATTTAAACAAAATTAGAACCACCTGTGAGGTACCACCTTTCCTCTAGAAAAAGAATTACAGAAATCGGTTAACATAAAAAAAAAAAATATTCCGACGAATTGATAACTTTCCTCCTTTTTGTAAAGTCGGTTAAAAATAGTAAAATTTTAAAGGTAAATGTGCATTAGGATGTTATTACAATACCATCACCAAAGGGCACCCTTTTGTTTTGTTCTATGTGCAAAATAAAGACGTCCTCGAAAATTAAAAAAAAATTAAATTTAAAAATTTTGACTTGGAGCAGCTTTCACTCAGCGATTGTCTGAATTTATGTGAATAAATTTCAATAATAAGTCAACATTTTGTATAATTTTTGCAATTAAAAAAAAGTAATAATTTTTTCAAGCACTTCAAGACTTCAAAAAAATACCGGTTTACTTTTACTTTTTCTATAATTCCTGAGAGCGGCAGCAGGAAAAATTCCAAAAACCAGATTTTCATGAATATTTTCGGATCACCCTAATATACCTACATACCTCTGTGCCAATATAAAATATGTGTATGGGAGATTATTTAATTGAATGAATAAACAACAAAGATGATAACAATCCGAATACGACAGCAATAAAAAATTTTGAAACGAAAGAGAAAATCGTAAAATTATTGAGACATGTAAGACCAGTTCGGCCAGTGGGCTTCATACAAATTTGAGTTATACTTTTTCAGCTGATTGCCTACTAAATATAACAAAGTTGAACGCGGACATAGTTCACAATAGGTTTCTAGTTCATAATAAAAAATTATTAGTGTGTGTGCTGATGTTGTCACACAACTAGAGATAACTTATATTTGTGAGAAGCTTCTTCAAGCCAGATGTACAACCGGAAATTTGTCATTATCTCACGACCGGCTGCCACTGTTAGAACACTTTTTTTTTTACATTTTTGGATATTTGGCATACCATAGATCGAATTTGGATACTAACAATTTAGCACTTTGATTATGGTGGCTGCCATCAGTGAAATTGTACCCGGTCCTCAAACAGTTCGCTTAAATAGGAGCCAACCAATTGCACTACAGCTCCAGAGCCCTTTGCAGCTGCGACTTGAAGGGTTTGAACGAATTTATCGCCCAGGCCATGTGACGATTGTCCAGAAAATCGGAGAGGTAACGGATCTGAAGTACAAATTATTGCAAAGAAGTACATTTGACTGTACTGCGAAGTACGAAGTAAAAAGCTAAAAAAGAAGTACTGTACTACTGAAAGCAGTACGGTTGGTCACATTAGTTATAAGTTATACTTCCGGTGATACCCTCACGAGTGGAAAAAATCCGCACATGCGGCAGGCCAATGAAATTCTACAAATTTTCACCAAATTTTCATCTTTTAATCAAAATTTGTTTGAGTATGCAGTTTTGTAGTTCACTTAATTTCAGTATAATAAAGTACCTGTTTTAAGTGGCTATAAACTACCGTTGATTTTTGAGTTTCTTGTTTTTTCTTGCTGATGATATTGCGCTCGTTTTCTGCATATAACGGATGCGTGATATTTTTTTTTTTGTATGGAAAAAATACCGAAGAGTGTCAGTAAAAAAAATTCGCAAAAATCAACGGTAGAATATAGCCACTTGAAACTTACACTTTATCATACTGAAATTGAGTGAGCTACAAAACTGCATACTCGAAAAATTTTGGTGAAAATTTGTAAAATTTTCCTAAATTTTGCAAACATTTTTAATTATCAATTTATATGCCATTTGATGCAGAATTTCTATCAAAAATTAACGAAAGAAAAATTATTACGAAAAATATTGAAAATGTAAAAAAAACGTTGTGCGGAAATATATTCTGGTTAGTGTATGTACATTTGTACATATTTTACCATTCAATTCTATTGCTGTAATGTTGAGACAAATTTGAAAATTATGGTAATATTTGTATGTATAAATAGTTGCAGGAAACCGTTTGTAGTCAGTTGTGAATCTTTTGCCATAAAATTCAATTACAGCTGTGCTGCTTCCTCGATAGCCTTCACTTTTTTGCATTTCTCGCGTAACTACTACCTATGTATGTATAGACAAAGCGTGAAATTGAATATTGCCAATAAAAAAGAAGGCAGCACAGCAGAACAGAGAAAATAGATACATACGTACGTTATAAATAACACAAGTCGTTTACAATAGTAAAAACAAACAGACAAAACAAACGACAGGCCACTGAGTAGGGAAATCGAAAGCAGTTCATCTTAGATTTTCTGATTTGCTGATTTTCTATGCAATCACGTGCGCAGTGCAGGGTGGCCCAAGGTATCCCTTTCAACTAGCACTAAGTCGGCGTGAGAGCAAATGATTGTCAAGGAAAGGGGATCATCCTGCAGTGAAACTGGCGCACAACAGTTGCTAGCCATTTGAGAGATTTATTAAAAAAGTGCAGAGTCTGAGGGGCGAATTGATAGACTAATCTAAAATCTACGCAAAATAAATCGGATTTTATTGTGTATTCGTATATTTACGTATAGATGTGGCGAAGACAAAAATACAATATTTTAGAGACAAAAAATACTGCTATTTAAGATTGCCGGGTTCTACACTTCTGTGCATTTGTTTGTGAAGGTGAAATGTAGATAAATATCCGCTTATTATTTTCGCAACTTTTGCTTTTATGTCCCAATTTTGTTTTGTGATTTTAATACTTCGTTTTATCATCAGAAATCTGTAGCTGTAGCGCAGACAAGCGCAATTGCTAACAAAGTATAGAGTCACAACAAGGTTCTCAAGTGGCTTGCCTACAGCAACTGGGATCAAGACAAAAAAATATTGTGGCAATAAAAATAAATCGGCTGGTAAGTTGTAAATTTTGCTGCGCCTACTAAGTTATCGGGGAATATTTGGATGCAGTTGATGAAGCTTCAGACTTGCCAGAACGCCAAACTCCGGACAGCGGTGGGATGCCCTTCGATGTCGTCTGAATACAACTTGCATGGTAAATCATCTAGGCTATCAGTCAGAGAACACAGCCTAATGATCAGGAAACAATTTGTGATTGGCCGTTATGGCGGGGAGCATCCAAACTGACATTTTATTGAGGCAAATCCGTCGCCCAAGATATCACAAGGCATCTTCTCGAATACAAGTACGCGGCCCAAGCAATCCTGCGACAAATATTCGGCCCGACGTTGTACTTAAAAACCATTAACCGCGTCCATTAGCACCTTTACTTTTGGCTCCATGAATGCTGACCACCAATAGTAGGGCTGCGGCTACGCGTGAGATCGGCGCAATTCTGTCCCAGTTATGGTCTGCATATTGCAGTCGTCTTACGTGCTTATCCAAGCTCGACCTTGATATACAAAAACAAATCTGGCCTGTGGAGGCTCCCAGCACCAAAACCAACCACGTATTCGTCTGTCCAACCCCGTCCAAACAGCGCAATTCATGGCCCTACCGTTAGTTGAGCTTGACGACACGACAACGATTAATGAAGTACTCGATTTTTTTGGGCCTTAGTAGTGCTGTTACAACAACGGTTACACTGCTAATCTTCTCCCAGCATTCGCTGAGTGGAATAAAAATCCAGAAGAAGACGACATATAGCTATGGGAACCCATACACAAACTCTCGACACGGGGACAACTCGTCAAGAACACCCTGTTTTGTTAGATGATCGGTAATGTAGTTATGTGGTATGGAAGCAATATAAGTTTCTCAGCGATGTTATCGGCGATTCTTGGCGATTCTCTGACCACTTTTGCACGTTTCATCAAAGTACCAAGGACACGTAAGTATTGCCATCTGGCTAACAGAATATGACTTAACCACCTTAAAAGGCTTTTAAATTTGTAAACAGCCAATCTGCTGCTATGTTTAGGACGGCTATCTCTAATTGGAGAACACTGCAGTTATCCGATAGTCTAAAGAACCTTCTAGCACCTGAGTTCCCGTAGCTGGAATGGAATTTAGGGCCCACTCCGCTTACATATACCTACTGCGCAATAGGGTTGGTCGTATGTACTCTTTTATGCAGATAGTCCACTCCTCGCAGCTGGTTAGCGATAGTGGTCTAAGACACTGGTCTTGCCCTGTGACTATACCAATGACACCTTGCAATAAATTGGGTTTAATTGGAGTTTAATAGTGAAGCATCTACTGCAAAAGGCCGCAGCGGTTTCCAAAGGCCCTATGTAATATAATTAGGCTATTATGCATTATTTACACTTTCTCCCACTCCCAGCTCTTTGTATGAAAGCCATCTTGACTAC